TTTAAGTCTCCAAGCCGCTGACCGCACTATTCTCTCTGCCTAAAATGTCCTCAACACTCCCTAATCACCTGTGACAAAATCCTGTTCAACCTTTGGAGCTCAGCTCAAAGGCCACCCCCTCTGAGCCTTCCTTGACCTGTCATCTGGTAGTTGGCCTGCTCTGGGCTCCTTCCATACACTGCTGGACCGATATCATATTGCCTTGGCAACAGCAGAAGGGTATCTCCATGTGACTGCTCCCCTTGGCCCCACAGGGCCCACAAAGTCCGTCCAGAACCTGGTTCACACTGGGTAGTAAATGCCCAAGGAAAGGGCTGCAGGTGTGTCTCTGGTCCAGCCCTGCCTGCCTTCTCTCACGAATGACCCTCTCACTCACTTGCCTGCAGCGTGACCCCCGAGAGGCCCCAATCAATCCCCACAGTACCTCAGGGTCCCCCCAGGGGCAGAGCCCAACAGCCCATTTCCCCTACCTGTAAACCCTTCCTAGGCACAGGCAAAATCACTCCCTTGCTGGCCTCTGGGACAAGTGGAAGGGGATGAGTTTTTACAGTACTTTCTAAATTTTCAAGAGAAGCCAGAAATCTGGAATTTTCTGTGAAATACCCCCTCAGGTTCATTGTCGAGTCTTATGCTTTGGAGCCCAAATGTGGGATCGTGGCCTGCACACCTACTGTGAGCCCAGTTCCATTTCCTGTCTCCCCACTGCAGGCAGGTCTTGTTTACCCTCCTCTTACAGATGAGGAAAGTGGCTCAGTCAGGAAGTTCCTTCCCACACCACAGAACCAGGAAGTGTAGCCCAGTTTGGGGCGGAGGGACTTGCTCTGGTATCTGCCATGAGGCTTGTGGAGAAGTGGGGGTGCTAGGGCACCCAGCAAGGTCTGGGCAAGTCCACTCCTGATCCATCTCTCCCTGGTCCTTCCAGTGGCCTCGGAGCTGGGGAGCAGTGTTTGTTTGCCTCATTGTACACAGGAGGAAACCAGGGTGAGGGGATATGACTCACTCAGTCTCATGAAGCCATCAAAGGCAAACCTGGGATCACATTCTAATCCCAAATTAAGCTGGGTTCATGCAATGACAACACAGGGTCACCACGGGTTGCCCAATAATCAAAAGCATGAATGTCCCCAGGGCAAGAGAACACCGAGGCTCAGGGACTAATGGGTGGCTCAAGATCACACAGAGTGGATGAGCAGCAGAGGGCCGTTGGAGACCCAGTCCCTCCCAGAGTAAAGCACTTGATGCTACTCCATTCCAGCTTCCTCCCCCAGGCCTCTGTTGCAGATGGGAGGGAGCCAGCTCAGGCAGGCTTGGGCAGGAAGAGGAGGGCGGGGCCATCGTTTCCTGCTTGGGCCCTGCCCCGCGAGAGTTCCCCACCTGTCCAAGAGCCCTGGACAACTAGCTGGCAGCCTCCCTCCCTCAGTTTCCTGTGCCTTTCTTCCAAGGCTCCTCAAACCCTCCTCCAAAGAGGTAGCGCCCAGCCGCTTTCCCAGGCAGAGCTGGTGGAACAGAGATTGAGGTACCACCCAGCAACACACAGCACAGCCTGGTAGAGCTGGATCAGGCCTCATACCTCCCAGATACCATAGAGCATCAGTCTCTGGCCCAGAGCCTCTCACACATCAGGGTGGGGGTTGTAAGCACCCTGTCAAATGTTCTCTGCTCAGGGCAGGCCTGAATACACCTGCCTTCACACCTGAGCCCCAAGCTTTGGCTCCCCTAAGAGAAGCGACTGTGTGCAGATGCGGGAGGGGAGGGTGTTGGTAGAGGTCTGGGCTCAGGTCTGCAGTTCGCTAGCTCCAGCCTTGAGACTTTGAGTAAATTACATGGTCTCTTTCCGCCACTGTCTCATCTGTACAAGTGGCACAAGGGTAAGACTAGTGACAGATGACATTTACTGAGCACTTAGTATGTGCCCTGGAGCCCTGGTGGCAAAGTGGCAAAGAGCTCAGCTGCTAACCAAAAGGGCTGGCAATTTGAATCCATCAGCCGCTCCTTGGAAACCCTATGGTGCAGTTCTAGTCTGTCCTACAGGGTCGTTATAAATCGGAATCCTCTCAATGGCAATGGGTTTAATATGTGCCCAGCACATACTCTCGTAGGGAGCAGGAGAACATTCATCGTTAAATATGGACCCTCTGAAGCCAGCCAGCCTGGGCTTGGACCTTGGCTCTGCCTCATTAGCTCTGTGACCTTGAGGAAGTCACTAACCACTGTGAACTGCAGTTTATCCTGGTGTAAAATGGGGATAAGGAGAGTACCTCAATCAATAGTGGCTCTCTCACTGTGTGTGCATCTCCTGCCACGTACCTGCCCAACTTCCTAGGACTGGGTCTGCACTTGAATGTGTATTATGGGTGTGGTACTGGGGGGCGGGCTCCCCCTTCTAACCCCAACCCCACCCCTCTGCAGCTCTCATCACTGGTACCCCCGGGAGTCTGCGGAGAAGGAAGCAAGAACCGTCACCCCATTGTCCAGAGATGAAAACCAGAGGCTGCAGGAGTGTGGTGCCTGCTCGACCCACGGAGATGAGTCCCACCCTATTCCCCACTTTCCCTCCTTCTTATGTGCCTTCTCCGTTCTAGGGTCAGCACCCCCGCACCAGCTCGACGGCCCTTGGGTAGCGGAAGCTGTGTGCCCTTGGACAAGTCATAGACCCTCTTTGGCCCTCCAGGCGTCCCGACATCCTGAATGCAGTATGACGGCGCTGGGATGCCGAAACCTGTCACCCGAGGCCTCAGTCTCTAAGGCCTGGGTCCAGGCCGCTCCACTCTCCGGAGGGCGTCAGTAAAATGTTTGGGATGGACATGACGAGGCCAAGGGGTTGCAGCACCTCTCCGGCTCTGACCCGGACACCTGGGTCCCAGATGGAGCCGGGACCTGCCGGGGGCCGCGGAGCATTCGCGGGGCGCGGGACACGCTGGGACGTGTAGTTCCCTAGGGCTTCCCGAACTGGGGTACTTGGACCTAGCCGGCGGGCCGCAGAGCAGCGAGGCTCTGGCTCCCCACGGAGGCAGCGAGCTCCGGCCCTGCGAGAGCAGACGGAGGCCCTGTTGGAAGCTCCAGCGCTACTCAGCCGACCCGCGGCCGCCCCCTATCGCTCCATGCTCATTGGCCCCGGGCGTTACCTGGGGCCGCGGCGGGGCTCCACCCCCACCGGCAGCCGGCGCGTTGCTCCCTGCTGCAGCCGGGGGTCCCGGTCCCGCTGCAGCCCGCGCGCCGCCTGCCGCGGCCCCCCACTCCGGCCCGGAGCAGTGGAACCGTCCGCGGCCCTCACCACACGGGCGCGCGCGCGGGGCCCACGCCGGCTGCGCAGTTTCGGGTTTCCCTCCCCCGCTCCAGCGCGAGAGTGGAACTACCTGGATTGCACCATGAGCGCGGGAGCGGGTTAGGGAGGGGGCGTGGTGTTTTTCGGCCACGCCCAGCTCGACTTCCTCTGTGCGACCACGCCCATTCGGCGTCAGGTGGCAAAGGGCGCGCAAGGGCAAATCGCGGGCCGCTAGCCGCCCGCTTTACTGCCTGTGTGACCTTGGATTAGTGGCTGACTGTGTTTTCTGGTCTGTGCAGAAGGGAAAATCATAAGACTCAGGGGCCGTTCAAGGAATCTTTGCTTCTCGGAGAGTTTGTCCGCCTCCTCCAGCCTCGGATTCGGTGCGGGGGGCGGGGTTGAGGTGCAAAGAACAAAGGTTCTGGGATCAGTAGATCTTGGTTCCTGTGATCTTTGGGCAATTCTCTGAGCCTTAGTTTCCTCGTCTGCGAAATGGGAGTGATGATACATCTTTCAGGAGGAGGTTGAGAGAATCCAGTGACAAGAGGATGTATGTAGCAGACGACAAATGTCGGGAGAGATTACTATGCCCTTCTCCCCTTATTCCCAGCGCTAGAGCCAGCCTGGACCAGAGCACGTACGATGTCTTTTGGGGTCGGGTATCCCCAGCCCCAGAGAAGCTCCTCCGCTCCCGCAACTGTGGGCGTATTAGGCCGGCGGGGACTACAACTCCCAGCGTGCCCCGCTGTAGCAGCGCGTGCCGGTAGTTGTAGTCCCCGCAGGCCACGCCTCCCAGAGGCAGCTCCGCGAGGCACCGTCTTTATCAGTCCAGGATTTGGCTCCTCCGCGCAGTGATGGTTGTGCAGTGGATTGGCCAGCAAGACAAATTTTTTTTTTTTAAGCTTCCATTTGTTGAACTCTTATTAACTTAGTTATTCCTTAAAGTCTAAACACCCAGTGAGGGAGAATTATTAATATCCCTGTTTTATAGATTTAGAAACTGAGGCATAGTGAGGTAAAAGGGTTTATCAAGGGCCATACTGCTACAAATAACAGAACCCAGCATTGTTTCTCAGGTCTGATACCCAGACCCCTCCTTCTAACTCACTGTCGTTCATCCTTCAACACGATTTTTTCCTTCTTTTTATCAGAACTATATTAGGGTCCAATTTACAGATATACAGTAAGATGCACACATCTCATGCTAATAGCTCGGTGAATTTTTAAAAAAATTTATACCTCCATATAGCTAAAACACTGATCAAGATCTAGAACATTCCCATCACTCCAGAAAGTTCTCTCGTGTCCCTTCCCAGTCAGTCCCTCCAGACATAACTATGATCCCGGTTTCTGTCACCGTAGATCAGTTTTACTTGTTTAGAACTTTGTAGAAATGGAATCCCACAGTATGCGCCCTTTTGGGTCGGGCTTCTGCTCAGCGTCATGTTTTTGAGACCCAAGCACATTGCCGTTGCCCTGGTGGTGTAGTGGTTAAGAGCTTGACTGCTAACCAAAAGGTTGGCACTTTGAATCCACCAGCCACTCTTTGTAAACCCTATAGGGCAGTTCTACTCTGTCCTATAGGGTCGCTATGAGTCAGAATCGACTCGATGGCAATGAGTAAGCACATTAATATGTGTATTAGTCATATGTTTTCATGCAAACCTACCACCCGTCTGTCAGTGGAGGTTTGCACGTTGCTGTGATGCTGAACGGGTTTCAGAGGAGTTTCCAGACTAAGACGCACTAGGAAGAAAGGCCTGGTGATCTATTTCTGAAAATAAGGCAATGAAAACTCTTTGGCTCACAATGATCCTACTATCCATAACCTATCGTGGGGATGGCACAGGACCAGGCAGCGTTTAGTTCTATTGTGCACGAGGTCACCATGAGCTGGGGGCAACTCACACCTAACAAGTATTGCATTGTGTGAATGGGGAATAGTTTTTAAAATCCAATCCCTTGAACGAATGGCCTCTGAGTTCCAGCCACCTTGGTCTTTCAGTTCCCCCAAGAGCCAGGGCCTTTCCCAGAGTGGGGCTTCGTACACACTATTCCCTCTGCTGGGGCTTCCTTTTCCTTTCTCTTGTCCTGGCCTGCTCTACTTTCATACAGATCCTCCCTCTGTGGGGCAGGGTTGCCCACCTCACCACCCAGTCTCCAGCACAGTACCTGGCACAAAGTGGAAGTGCCTGGAAGGGGGTTCAAGTGCCTTGGGGGATGAGGAGGAGTTGGTCTCAGCACACATCAGTTGACTGAGTGAACACAGAAGTGGTGAGCAGTGCCCAAGGGGGCCGCGTGGCACCAGACCCACTCACATTCAGAGGGCTCAGAGGCATTATGTTCCATCTCAGGGCTCTGCTGGACTGAAAGAAAAGTCACGTTAGTATTTTACTTCCCCCTATTTTCCTGGTGTGGAAACTGAGGCTCAGAGATGGAGAGAGACTTGCCCCAGGTCACACAGCCATGAAAGGACGGAGCTGAAAGGGGAATCCATGTCTGTCTGGCCACAAAGCCTGCCTGTGGTGGTGGTGGTAGTAGAGAGTGATTGGAGGAGCCTGGAGGGAAGGCTGTCACAGAGCAGAGAGAGGAAGTGGAATCTGGTGCTTCCAGAGGGCATTCTCACGTTGAAGTGAGGGGAGCAGCTTTTAATAAAGCACGTACAGTCGGGGCCATGGCATGGAGGCCATGTGAAGGGATAAGCTCCCCATCACGGGAGGTGTGCAAACCATGGCATTCCAGCCATCGGGGAGGGGCACTATAAAAGGAATTTGTACCCTGGAAGGGGGTTCAAGGGACTTGGGGGATGGGGAGGAGTTGGTCTCATGGGTCCCCAAGTTCTCTGTAGGGTGGAGGCTGTTGAGACTCTGACAGCAAGGGGCTGTCCATATGCTGGTCCCTCGACGTAAAACAGAGCAGTGAAAAGACTTTGCACCCTGCAAAGACATGCGCAGCATTGGGAGATGACTGGGAAGTTGAGGAGAGATTGAACGTATTCATGTCAAAGAGCGAGCGACCCTCAGCCCAGGCTCTCCCGGTCACCTCTGAAGCCTTACCTTAGGATGGAGGCGTCCCTATGTTGCCGGTGAAGAAATGGAGGCTCAGGAGAAGCAGTGACTTGCCCAATGTCACACAGCCTGTCAGGGGCAAGCTAGGACCTCAGTTCAACCTGACCAATTTCTGAGCACACAGTGTAATACACTTAGTAAGTTACCAGTTGTCTTAGTCATCTAGTGCTGCTCTAACAGAAATACCACGAGTGGATGGGCTTAGCAAAGAGAAGTTTATTCTCTCGCAGTCCAGTAGGCTACAGGTCCAAATTCAGGGCATCAGCTCCAGGAGAAGGCTTTCTCTCTCGGTCGGCCCTGGAGAAAGGTCCTTGTAATGCATCAGTCTTTCCTTGGTCTGGGAGCTTCTCTGCACAGGAACCTCAGGTCCAAAGGACACACTCTGCTCCCGGCACTGCTTTCTTGGTGGTATGAGGTTGCTATGTGTCTCTGCTCGCTTCTCTCGTTTATATCTCAAAAGAGATTGCATTAAGACAGTGTCTAATCTTGTCAGCCTCATCAGTATAACCTCATCACAGTGAAAGAATTTACAACACATAAGGAGATCACATATAATCTCGTGATAGTGATAGAGCTTACAACACATAAGGAAATCACATCAGATAACACGATCATACAATTCTGGGAATCATGACCTAGCCAAATTGCTGCACACATTTTTGCGGGGACACAATTCAATCCATGACACCAGTAAACACAGGCAGTGAGAGGTTTTCTTGATCCAAAAATTCAAAAACCACACACCTAAGAAAGGAACCCTGATTCATATCTGAATTGCTACCTTATGTACATGTGCATGTGGCTCAATTGCTTACCCTGTGCTAAGTGCTTTACATGCATTACCTAATTAATCCTCATAACAAGCCTATGAGTTGCGTTCTGCCATTGTGCCCATTTTACGGTTGAGTACTGTCTTTGTTATCCCGTGCTGCTGTAACACAAATACACAACACAAATACAAGTAGGTGGCTTTAAAAAACAAATTTATTTTCTCACAGTTCAGGAGGCTACTCAGGGCATGACTCTAGAAGGAGATCCCTCTTTGTCAATTTCAGCTACTAGTAGCCATCAATCCTTGACGTTCCTGGGCTTGTAGATCTGCCTCTGTCATCATCCGTTTGTCTTCCCCCATATGTGCTCGCTTGTCTCTGTGTCTATGCTGTTCCTTAGAACTCAGAATTGATTCGGTTTAGGACACACCCTACACTGATATGGCCCCATTAACATAACAAAGAAAACCCTACACCCAAATGGGATTATATCTACAGGTATAGGGGTTAAGATTCCAACCCATATTTTGGGGCAACACAATTCAATCCATTGCAAGGACATTGAGGCTCAAGGAGATGAAGCCCCTTGCCCGAGGCACCCAGCTGGTACGTGGCGGGGAGGGGATTAGAACCCATGCCGTCCAAGTTCACATCCTGGGTTCTTAGACCCACTTTCTGCTTGGTCACTCTCTCCCTAAAGTAGACCCTGACCCTGGGACTGTTACTCAGACCTGAATTATCCCAGCCCACAGCTCAGTAAGCTTTCAAGAGATAGACAGACAGGTGCCACTGAGATGGGCAGGGCACCATCGGGCCACACCTGGCTCATCCAGATCCTGTCCAAAGGTCTGGGCATGCTAGGACATGCCCTCTGGAGCCCCAGCCATCAGAGCAGGGAGGGAGGGTGGGCAGAGGCTTGGGGCTGGGGTCTGTCCTACCTGGGGCTGGCTCCCTTGGTCTGGAGCAGAGCTGGCATTGACTGGGTCATTTGCCTCTCCTTCTACCAGTTAGGACACCAGCAATGTTTAGTGTCCGCTTCCTTTGGGAGGAATCTGACAGCTGTGGCAGAGAACCAGGGGCAAGAACAGTTGCACAGATATGGGTTAATATCCTGGTTCTGCCACCTACAGACAATCTAGTCTTGGGTGGTGACCCAACCTGTCCAGGTCTCTATTTTCCCAACTGTAATAGGGGAGAAATCATTCCTGGAGTTATTGGGAGGATTAAATGAGATAATATTACAATCATAAAATAACACAACCATCACCACCACAATAAAAACTAACATGCGTTGAGACCTTACTCTGGGCATTTTGCTCAGGACTTTAGATTCACAACTTCATTTAATCCTCAACATCGCCTTCCAAGATAGGTGTCATATGTTGCTGTGTGCGGTCAAGTCCATTCCAACTCATAACAACCCTATAGGACAGAGTAGAACTGCCCCATAGGGTTTTCTAGGCCGTAATCTTTACCGGAGCAGATCACCAGGTCCTTTCTCCCACAGAGACACTGGTGGGTTCAAACTACCAATCCTCCAGTTAGCAGCCAAGGCTTAACCATTGCACCATCAGAGCTCTTTAACAAAAAAAAAAAAAACAAAAACCCACTGCCGTTAAGTCGATTCCAACTCGTAGTAACCCTATAAGACAGAGTAGAACCGCCAATAGGGTTTCCAAGGAGCGGCTGGTGGATTCGAACTGATGACCTTTTGGTTAGCAGCCGAGCTCTTAACCACTGAGCCACCAGGGCTCCCAGGGCTCCTTATGTGTCATATATTACCCACAGTTTACAGACGAAGAAACTGAGGCTTATTAAGAGGCACTGAGCTTCTGTTAAGGGTGATAGAAAAAACGAGATGGATAGTGGTAATGGTTGCACAACATGGTGAACATAATTAATGTCTCTGAATTGTGTATGTAAAAAATGTTGAAATGGCAGATGTTTTGTTATATATATTTTTACCACAATTAAAAAAAAGAAAGAAAGAAGCTGAGGCTTAGAGACATTATATAACTTGCCCTACCACAACTCAACCCAGCAGTCGGACTCCAATCCCCATCTCTTTTAACCACTGCATTGTAATAGACATGTCAAGTGCCGTCCACCCTCTCACAGCATCCTCTCCTTGGAGACACACAGGAGGAAATGCCTGTCTGGTATCATAACTTGCAATTGTGCCATAGATCCCAGAGCCTGGCTGTATATGTTTTTAAATGGATGGATGCTGGACTTAGTGGATCCTATTTCCCTCTTTGCCTTGCCTGCTGGGAAGCTCAGAATATGATTCATGGGCAACTTCTGGTAATTACTCAGAGCTTCAAGGCAAATATTCTGTGGACTTTATTCAGGTCTAGATTTCCTTTGTTTTCTCACCTGTTTTCCCTTTATCTAGTTTCCTTCACCTTTTTAAGCATGTTGTAGCATATATATTTTGATAATCTGTTTTAATTTTGGGCAATCAGGGAGCAAATATCCTTGTTAAAGTGCCTGGCATGTAGTACCTGCCTGATACATTGACTGTGAGCCAGACATAGCCCTGTGAGGAGAGGGCCACTAGTGGTGATGACAAGACAATGGGTCTGTACCCTAAGAAAGCTGTGGGTTCAAAGCCCTGAAATCGCAGATGAGTGGTGTGGGTTCATGCTGTGTGCCAGGCCTCATGACAGGAGTGGCAGCTCAATGATCTCATTTTTATACTGCGAAAACCAAACCCAAACCCACTGCTGTTGAGTCAATTCTGACTCATAGCAATCCTATAGGGCAGAGTAGAACAGCCCCATAGAGTTTCCAAGGCTGTAAGTCTTTACAGAAGCAGACTGCCACATCTTTCTCCCATGGAGCAGCTGGTAGGTTTGAACAGCTAACTTTCAGTTAGCAGCTGAGCAATTTAACTACTGTGCCACCAGGGCTCCTTGTTTATACTGTGAAGTAGATAGTATTCCTTTTGCAAGTTACAAATGGGGCTGCCTGATATCATGCCACAGAGATGGGTAAGGACTCACTCAAGAGGCTTAATAGCTGACAGATGGCCAAGTTGAAACTCCAGTCTCTCTTACCTCAATTGTCTGTGCCCTTTCCATTCTCAGGGGTTGTTATGATCAGGCAGAAACCAGCTCAATCAGGTCTAGCAGAAAAGGGAATGTACTAGTCCAATAACTGGTTCAGAGTCTGGTGATGTATGGCTTCAAGCATGGCTGTATCCAGGAGCTCACACAGTCTTGAGGAATCCTTGTCTCTCCATTTCTTAACTCTGATTTACTCAGTCTTGGATTATTTCTCAGTCAGACTCTACTCTCATGGTGGTAAGAAGGTCATTGGAAACCTCAGAGTCACTTAGAAATCCCAGTGAGGAAAAACAAGATTCTGTTCTCAACAGTTCCAACTAAAGTCCTTTATCTGAGCCCCGTTGGTTCTTAGTGACCCAACTTTGGTTGACATGCGCACACCTGAACCAATCACTGTGGCCGGGAGGAGACTGTGCCCCAACTGGCCAGGCGTGGATGACAAGCCCGCCATGGAGTGAAGGGAGGACATGGTGGGGAGGTTCCCCTCAGGAAAATTGAGGTGTTCTTAACAGAGGAGTGAGGATAGCTGGAACATCAGGTGTCCACTTTTGGGGGGAGGGGGAGGGAAGGCTTTGTGGGGCAGTAGGGAAACAGGGAAGGAGGTGTGGAGGAGGGCCCTGGCCAGGGGGAGCATTGAGGACAGTGGAGGCAAATTGAGGGCAGGGCAATCCCCTGCCCCTTCCACATCTCGGAGCCCTGGTGTTGAGCTCAGAGTTGGCGCCTGGCTCAGCCATTTGCTCTCTGTGGGATGGCGTGGTCACTTCCCATCTCTGAGCTTCAGGTCCCTCCTCTAAAGCAGGGATGATTATAACGCACCTACCTCTCCCGTGGGGATGTCGGGAGTCAGTGAGAGCTATGATATAAAGCACACAGTAGGTGCTTAATAAATGCTGATTCCTACTCCTCTTGGGAGGCACAAGTACATTCTCCTCCAGGATCTCCCTGGAGCTTATGGGGGAAGGGAGGAGGGAGAGCATGTTTGCATTTTATGGTCTCTTTTGGCAGAGCTGCAGTTTCTGAGTGTCTGTCCTGGGCTGGGTGTCTCCCTGTCCACCTGCACAGACACCCAGCACAGGAGGAACCAGCACTTCATGGTCCAGATGAGGCAGTATTGTTCAGAGAGGGCCATCAACTTCCCCAGGTCACTCGGCTAGAAGGAGGCAACTCGAGGCCCATGTCCCCAGGGCCCCGTTTCTCCTGTGTCACCATGGGGATGGAGGGGCTTGTGGGGCTGCAGGAGAAGGAGATGGGGAGCTCAGTCCCTGCTAAGAGGTCACTGGCACTGAGGCAGTGTTCAAAACCAGCCCTGGGGTAAACAGAGCCCTGGTGCAAGGTAGAGCCCATATGAAACCTCAACACAAGGGAAGAATAGCAGCAACAATAGTCACAAACACTCATTGAGCCAGGCACGATCCAGGTGTAAACCTCACAGGGCTGTTATGGGTTGAATTGTGTCCCCCAAAAAGATATGCTGAAGTCCTAACCCTAGTACCTGTGAACATGAGCTTGTTTGGAAGATGTCGTCAGTAAAGTTAATGTGAGGTCATCCTGGAGTAGGGTGGGGGTCTTAATCCCGTCTGAGTGGGGCCCTTATAAAAGAGAAGAGACCCAGAGAGACAGATTGAAGGAAGATGGCCACGTAACCCTGGAGGCAGAGATGGGAGTGACGCTGCCACAAGCCAAGGGATGCACGAGACCACTGTAAGCTAGAAGAGAAAAGTAACAATCTTCTCCCTGAGCCTTCAGAGAGAGCACGGCCCTGCCGACAACCTAAATTCAGACTTTGGGCACCCTCTCGCCTACTCCAGTCTGGGCCTTGTCCCCAGCTCAGGGTTGGTGGTCTGTGGCCTGGGCCTCCAGTCCAGGCACACTTCAGCCCCTCACCTCGGTCCTGCCCTCCTACCCCCTCCCAAGCTGTGGCCTGTGCCTCCTGAGAAATCCGCCTGTCCGGAGGTGCGGTCTCTAGCAGGGTTAATGATTGCTCAGGGGAGGCGGGGATGGTGCCAAAGTCTGCCAGCCGCACTTCCGCTGCTGGGCCAGACGGTGCCCATCTTTGCCTGCCGGCGTCTGTCCACCACTCCAAGGCCCCTTCTGGGGCACAGGTAGGGACCGCACAGGTGGCTGGGCGGGGGCATGGGGTACGGCCGGTCTGTGGGGGCCAAGGTGAGCTTTGGTGACTATTAAGGCTCCCCCTGAAGCTGGGCAGAGGAAGGGGACACCAGCCGGTTCTGGGTTGGCCAGACCTGGGGCTGAGTCCCAGCCTTGATGCAAGGCCTTGGTTTCTTCTACAACGGGGGGATAGTAATACCTACCACCCGATGTTCCAAAGGCCCCCTTCCCTTCCGAGTCCTTGGGTAATTTGGACCCACTGAGTGTTCTTCGGAGTCCTTGGGTGGTGCTAATGTGTTCAACTGGAGGTTGGAGTCCAACCAGAGATACCTCAGAAGAAAGGCCTGGCAATCAATTTCCAAAAAATCAGCCATTAAAAACCCCGTGGAGTACTACACTGATGCACATGGCAACTGGTGGTAGTAGTAGAGGGTTTTTTACAGGATGGAAAGGAGGTGGAGTCCCCCCAGGGAACTGAGTCACGCTGTCTGGGCCCCTTTCTAGGAAGCTTGAGGGGGGTGAGGACAAGGTGGCTGAGCCCCTGGAGCTCGAGGAGAAAGAGTCAGGGCTCTGGCCCCAGCTACTTGGGTTCATCTCCCACTCTGCCGTGACCTGTGGTGGTCCACTTAACTCTTCCAGGCCTCAGTGTCCTTATCTGTAAAATGGAGATGATGATAGTGTAGGAAAGAACTTGTAGAGCCCCTGAACCATGGGCCTGTGGTCATGCTCAACTCCAGGCCAGTGCTAGGAAGTGTCAGGTTGGGATTAAACCCATGACTGACCCTGCTCTGGCTCGTTCCTGGGCCCTGGCGCATCTCCTCACCCTGGTGTACAAGGTGGAGACTCAGCTGAGAGCCAGGCCTGAAGCGGGGACTTGCTGGGAGCGGGCGCCAGGCACAAAGCGGGGGCTCAGTCCACACTGAGACCTGAGTGATGGAAACCACACACTAGTGTGTGGGCTCTATAGTTCTTATCATCACCCCATATCTCAGCAGGGGAAACTGAGGCCCAGAGAGGGGAAAGGCTTGCCTGGGGTTGCACAGCAAGTAAATGAAAAACTGGAACCCGAACTCAAGTCTGTTTGACTCCATATGTGTCTGCTGGACAGAGCAGCCTGGCAGCAGGCACTGAGGGACCGCGCAGGTCCCACATCTGGGCAGCAGGTCACTCTGGCTGGGCTCTGTCTGCCCAAGGGGAGCAAGGATGCCCAGGGAGTCGTGTGGAGCCAAACCAAGCTTTGTCAGGGACTCCTTTATTTGAAATCAGGCTGAGTCTGATGCCTCTCGGACATTGCTCTCTGAGCTTCTCTGAGCCTGTATTTCCTCCCTTGGAACCCAGAATGATAATTCCTACCTGGGAGGGAACAGTCGTGAGAGGTAAACGAGAAAGCAGAAGTAAAAGTGTGTGGTGGGTGAACTAAAAAGAGGTCTTGGAACCATAAACCGTTCAGAGTGGTGGTGGTTGACGTCAGTTTGTGGCTGAGGAGGAGCCAGCACTTCCTGTGCCAAGCAACCCTGAGGCCCCGGCTGATGATGGGCTGGGTGTGCCCTTCCAAACTTGAGAGGATTCCCAGAGGTCTGAAGTCTCAGGTGGGAGGGCAAGGGGCAGGGGTTCAGAAGCCACCCCAATTCACCTCTGTGTCCTTTTTGACCCTCCCTCAAGCACTTCTTGAGAGCAGGGAAAAGACAGGAAATGGGGCTGGGATTTGGGGGAAAGGAAGCTGTAATTTCTAGAACATAGACACATCTTCAGGAAAGACCAATCTCTAGAAAAGGACATCATGTTTGGTAAAGTAGAGGCTCAGCAAAAAACGAGGGAGACCCTCAACGAGATGGATTGACACAATAGCCACAGCAATGGACTCAAACGTACTAACGATCATGAAGATGGTGCAGGACTGGGCAACATTTCGTTCTGTTGTACATAAAGTCACCACGAGTTGGAGCCGGTTCAATGGCAACTAACAACAACAGCTTGTTCCCATTTTTTAGAGGGGCAAACTGAGAAGCAGAGAGGTGGAAACAGGCACCCTGAGTATGGTTGTGCGGTGAAGGGGGCGTTGGAGTCAGATGGGGTCTCATGTCACATCCCCCTCTTCCCACACACACACCCCTCTTGGCTTGAGGCTGCCCCTGCAGAGAAGACAGAGCGCCTGGCACAAATTCCCACAAAGGCCCGTGGGACGTTGTCAAGTCCCCTCCCGACCCCAGCCCAGGGCAACTCCATTCACATCTTTTTAATGGATAAACAAGATAGGACCAGCACTCCCCCTTGCTGAGGGTACCAGAGCTTAGGGACCCAGGGGAGGGGTCACTGATTGCCTGACCTCTGCTTCTCACTCAACCTGAGTCTTAAAGAATGGAGAGAATTTGCAAGTATGCGGAAGGCAGGGAAGGCGTTCTGGGCATAGGAGGCAGCATAAGCAAATGAACAGAGCAAGGAAAATAGAGGGCGTGGTGCCGAGAATGTTGTTGTGTGCCAAGTCAAGTAGATCCCGACTCATAGCAACATTACAGGACAGAGTAGAACTGCCCCATAGGGTTTCCTGGGCTGTAACCTTTATGGAAGCAGACTACCACATCTTTTTCCTGTGGAGCCCTGGTGGGTTCAAACCACCAGCCTTTCAGTGAGCAGTCGAGTACTTAACTACTGCGCCACCAGGAGCATTCAATCCCACTGGTCCATAGGAAGGCGAGGAGAAAAGGTCGAAGTGAAAGAGTGGCCCATGATCTGTAAAGACCCAGTCTACCAGCTGAGGGGCAGGAAGTGCATCCTGTGGCCAGTGGGAGCCATGGGGAGGGTTTGAGCTGGGGAGTGACTGGGCCCAATGATGCTGGAAGTCTTATCAGGCAGGTACTTGCTTGTTCCTCCCCCAGCGCACGCAAGTTCTGGACATGTTTCTCAAGTGACCAAATCCCAAGATGACACTTCTGAACTGTAGGACTTTGACCTCATTATGATTGAATAAGCATGTTTGTAAAGAGACTCCGTGACAAGAAGAATGTAAGACAGTGTGAAACCCCAGGCTATGTGGAAGGGAGGAGGGGTGGGATGAAGCAAGAGAGAGCACTGGTGGGGAAGTCCCAATTCTACCTCTGACAGGCTTTGGGCAGGAGACTTAACCCTCTGAGACTTGGTGTCCTCATACGTATAGGGGGTTGACAACCCATCCCTTCCTTCCAAGGATATTGTAAGGACCAGATGGAGAGAAAGGACTTTGTGTGTGCATTCTGCAAATGCAAAAGGTTATTATATTGTTGTTCTAAGTAAGGGTCAGCAGGGTTCTTGAAGCTCCTGAGAGAATAGAGGCGGATGTTGGGAGAAACTTCCATGAGCCATAAGTGTGCTGAGTGTAGGAAGGGGCCCACAGGAGGAGCCTTCAGGAATCTGGAGCATGAAGGTCCTAGTTAAGGCTGTTCTCCCTCAGCATCGCCAGTCTGGGGGCTCTGGATGTCCTGCAGGAAAAGCTGGTAGAACAAGAAGAAAACTCCAGAAGCCTGGAAAAGAGAAAGAGCACAGGCTGGTTCTGGATCCTGATCACATTACTCATGTGCTGGGTCACGTCCTTTCACCTCCTGGGGACTAAATGATATAATGGGGGTAAAGTGCCAGCCACGGCCCACGGCCCACCTTTGTGCCTCCCTTCCCCTCAGGGACTGAGTGGAAGGGTCTGGGTGCAGGACTCTCCTATCTTCTGAGTTAGGCTGAGCTGGACTTTGTAATGGCAACGAGTACACCTTGTACGCCCTACTGGCTGCACAGTAGTGACTAATTTTCCTGTAGCTATTGACGCACCTGAAGGAGGAGAAATGAGGAGGCAAAAGAGACGAAGGGTTTAGGGCCAAGATTATAGCCTGAAGGGGATGCCAGTGGTGTCCAGCCTATGTTAACGTGCCTCTGGTTTGTCCTCACATGGTGGACACCAGCAGCCCACCATCATCACTCATGACACCCTCGTCCCCATCATCACCACCTCCAAAGCCACCTCCATCTCCACCTTCATCATCACAAGTGTCACCATCACCTCCATCCTCACAGCCATACTCGCCCCCACCCCACCCCCATCACCAACTTAATCCCCACCTCCATCTCCATCACCACCTCCAATGCCATCTACATCACCACCTTCATCATCACAAATGTCATCATTGCCTTCATCCTCACCTTATTACACATCATCATTGCTTCTTTCCACACAGCCACCCTCACCTCCATTGCCGACTTAATCCTCCCTCCACCTCCATCACCACCTTCAATTCCATCTGCATTGCCACTTCATCACCACAGACATTATCACTTCCATCCCCATGGCCATTCTCACCCCCAACCAAACTTCCATCCCCAACACCACCTCCATCACTAGCTCCAGGACCACCTCAGTCATTACACTTGGCCACAACTCCATCACACCAACACCTCCCACAGGTTCGGCCTCCCCATGGCATCGTCACCGTCTCCTGTCCAAGCCCCCTTTGGGTAAGACAGTGGCTTGGCACTGGGGATGTTTCTGAGGACTGAGGACTTGTTCATTCCTCTCGAGCAGCTGGCTCCATCTGCATTTCCCAGCCTGGCTGAGTGTAGCCCTGCTGTCCAGCACTTGGGCTGTCCCTGGCTACCCTCTCTGGGCACTTTGGCAAGCAAGCAGTTTTCACAATCTCTTCCCAATGGGTGCTTGCTAGAGCCACCCTGCAAGTAGTGACTAGAAATAGGGTTCTTAGATGTGTCCACACACAGCCCCAGCCCCGCCCTGTTCAGCTCACTCCGGCCTCTACTCTCAGCCTTGGAGCAGGGGGGTGATGATGGTCACAGGGGGAGGGATGGGCCAGTTTCCATGGTGATGGTACCTGCAGTGGGAATAGCAGTCATTCACAATGTGAAGATGCCCCACAAGATGCAGAAGGAAGGGGTTTGCTTTTGCTGAGCACCTACTGTGTGACATGTGCTGAGCTGGCACATTCTTACTCTCATTTCTTCCCACTCTTGCCCTTATCACTTCTTAGGGTTAGCTGTTCCATCTTAGAGTTGAGGAAACAGGCTCAGAGGAGGGCAGTGAAGTGCCCAGGGAGCCTCTGGTGCTTCTCAGCTCTGCAGCAAGACTCTTCACCTCTCTGAGATTTAGTTTGTTGGTATTGTTAACTACTGTCAGGTTGGCCCCAACTCACAACAGACCCCATGCACCACTGAATGAAACGCTGCCCAGTCCTGCGCCATCCCCATGATGGGTTGTGGATCAGACCACTGTGATCCATAAGGTTTTCATTGGCTAATTTTCACAAGTAGACTGCCAGGCCTTTCTTTCTCATCCGTCTTAGTCTGGAAGCTCTGCTGAAACCTGTTCAACATCACAGCAACACGTAAACCTCCACTGAAACATGGGTGGTGACTGCGCATGAGGGGCGTTGGCCAGGAATCAAACCCCGGTCTCCTGAACCTCCACTGCCCCTGAGCTTTAGTTTACCCGTTTGTAAAATGAGTACAATGGTACTGTCTTAGTTATCTAGTGCTGCTATAACAGAAATACCACAAGCGGATGGCTTAAACAAACAGAAATTTATTCTCTCACAGTTTAGGATGCTAGAAGTCTGAATTCAGGGCACCAGCTCCAAAGGAAGGCTTTCTCTCTCTGTTGTATCTGGGTGAAGGTCCTGGTCATCAATCTTCCCCTGGTCTAGGGGTGTCTCAGCACAGGGACCGCAGGTCCAAAGGATGCGCTCCGCTCCTGACTCTTCTTTTTTCATGGTATGAGGTCCCTCTCCTCTTTGCTCACTTCTCTTTTATATCTCAAAAGAGATTGACTCAGGATACAGTCTAATCCTGCAGATTGTGTTCTGCCTCATTAACATAACTGCCTCTAATCCTGCCTCATTAATATCATAGAGGTTAGAATTTACAACACACAGGATAATTACATCAGATTACAAAATAGAGAACAACCACACAATACTGGGAATCATGGCCTAGCCAAGCAGGCATGAATTCTGGGGGAACACGATCCAATCTATAACAGGTACCTACCCTGAAGTGTTGTTGTGAGCGTGAAATAAGGTGATGCATGTTGGTGCCCAGCTCAGTCCTGGCATGCAGTAAGTGCTCCTTACATGGCAGCTATGGCTGTTCATCACCATGACGTTGAACAGCTCTGAACGTTCCACAGAACGCTTGGCCATGTCTTTTTTTAACCATTCCCTTGTGTTATGGGTATAGGTTAACTTCTCATTTTTCATGATTATAAATAATCATTGTGATGAGCAACTTCCTGCAAAAAGAGCTGCCTTATTTTAAGTTAGTTGGATTACTGAGTCAAAGATGGCAAACCTTTTGAAGGTTTTGGGTCCACATCTGACCCTCTGGGGCCCTGGAGAAAGGTGATGGCCGTCACCTCCCTTCTTTGTGTGAGGGAGATACCAAGGGGCTTGGGGTTGGGGAGCTGGGTTTGAATCCCACTTACTTCTAGCTGTGAGATCCTCAGCAGATCACTCGGAGCCCCAATTTTCTCATCTGTGAAATGGGTGGCTGTGAAGATTAAGTTATATGGATTCCAAACATTCTGTCTCCAAAATATATCTCTGTTTTTACCTCTTCTCTTCAGCCTTGCTGCCACCATTTCAGCCCACTGACCCACAGCAACCAGAAAGATCTTTTAGAAAAGTAAATTAGCTGCTCTTGCTCCCCTACTGAAAACCTGAAATGATCCTCTATTTTTCTTAGAATACAACAAGCCATCATTACCATGTATTTCAGGGCCCTGCATGATCTGGCTCTTCCCTACTGCCCAGCTTTCCCCAGTTTCGTACCCCTTTCCCCTCTCTCTCTGGGCTCTAGCCACAGAGACCCTCTTTCAATTCCTGGAACACACCTGGCACTTACCTGACCTGGGGCCTTCTCTTGTAGAGCCCACACTTCCTGGTATTCCCCTATAACAATGCCCATTTTTATCCAAATAATATGTGTGTTAAGGAGCCCTGGTGGCACAGTGGTTAAAGCACTTGGCAGCTAAGCAAAAGTTTGGCTGTTTGAACCCACCAGTCGCTCCGAGGGAGAAAGATGTGGCAGTCTGCTTCTGTAAAGGTTTACAGCCTTGGAGACCCTAAGGGACAGTTCTACTCTGTCTTATAGGGTCACTATGAGTCAGAATCGACTCGATAGCAGTGGGTTTGGTTTTGGGTTTTTTTGGAATGAAACCAAAAAAACCAAACTCGTTGCCGTCAAGTTGATTCCTACTCATAGCGACCCTATGGGACAGGGTAGAACTGCCCCATACGTTTCCAAGGAGCAGCTAGCTGGTGGATTCGGACTGCCAACCTTTTGGTTAGCAGCTAAGCCCTTAGCCACTGAGCCACCAAGGTGTGTTTAATTTAAAAAGATCAAATAGTACTGTAAGGTTAATGACAAAAATAGCCTTTCCCTGCTCCGCCTTGCCCATCCCCACTCTCTAGAAGCAACTGCTTAACTACCTCTTCTTCCACTTACCATCATATTTCCAAATAGCATCATATACTGCTGTTTCTTTTTTTTTTTTTTTTTTTCATTTTAGACATTATCTATTGATTTCTTAAAGCAGAAGATGAGGATTATTTCTCTTACATCCTGACACACTTCCCCTTCTCCCATCCTCACTATATGGTTATAGTACATTGACTATGAAAACGTTCGCAGTTGAGCCATGCAGTCTACTGTGTTTCTGTGCCCTTTCTAGTACAATGCTCCCTCTCCCCACCTGCCATCAGTTTTGCTTGCTTAGTTTTCTACATGTTGTTGTTAGCTGCCATCAAATGTGCCCCCGACTCATGGAGACCCCAAGCACAATGAAACAAAACTTTGCCCAGTCCTGCAGCATCCCCGTGATCAGTTATGGAAGGACCATTGTGATCTATAGGGTTTCCTTTGGCTGATTTTTGGAAGTAGATTGCCAGGCCTTTCTTCCTAGTCTGTCTTTGTCTGGAAGCTCTACTGAAACCTGTTCAGCATCACAGCAACACACAAGGCTCCACTGACAGAGGGGTGGTGACTGTATATGAGGTACATTGGGCACGAATCAAACCTGGATCTCCCACATGGGGTGTAAGAACTCTACCCTTGAACCACTAGCGCTTCAGTTTTCTACATAGTATTATAGATTCATCCCTAAACTCTAGCCAGAGGTGTAAATCTCCCCCAAAGTGTTCAAAAGGTCATCTGGGATTCAGTTTTCTTAGAAACAGCCGTCTAGAGTCCACAGAACTCTTCCTCCCATCAGGACTGGCTGCTCCCTGGGCTGCTGTCCAACTACCATCCTCGGACTTCCCTTCCCCATTGTCCTAGGACACCCCCCCTCCTGTGTTGCGTGCTCTTGTTCCTGGATTCCTTCTGTTCCTTTTTCTTGGTTTACTCCCTTGACATAATGGATGACGTTTCTAGTGGTTTCCCAGGAAAAGGTGCATAGGAGGTAAATGTGTTGGCTTTGCAGGTCTGAAAATGGTTTTATTTTGTGTGTGTGGTGAAAATATACACAACAAAATGTACGCCAATTTAACAATTTCTGCATGTATTATTCAGTGACATTGATTACATTCTTCAGGTTGTAAAAATGTTTTTTTACTTATCCCTCACATATGATTGATATTTTTTGTGGGTATAGAATTCTGTAATTCTAAACTGGAAAATAATCTGTCTTCAGTATTTTGAAGGCATAGTGTTTGGTAATGAAATACCCTAAAAGTTAATGGCTTATTATTATATCTCATGATTCTGTAGGTCAGGAATTTGAGCAAGGCAACAGGGAGGTTTCAATTCTGTTCCATGGTGTCTGGGGTGTCAGTTGGTATTACACAAAAGGCTGGGGGCCGGAACAGCTGGGTGCTGGCTGGGCATCTTGCTCTCTCTTGCTGCATACGCCTCTCAGCATAGTTAGCTTGGGCTTCCTTACAGCATGGTGGCCTTAGGGTAGTTGGACTTCTCACAGAGAGTAGCTCAGGGCTTCAAGAGCAAGTATGCCAAGAGGCCCACGTAGAAGTTGCAAGTTCTTAAGTCCCAGAATGCCACTTCTGATGCATTTTGTGGGTCAAACAAATCACTAAGGCCAGTCCAGATTCAAGCGGAGATTAGACTCCACCTCTTGACAGGAGGAATGTCAAAGAATTTGGGGCCACCTTTATCTGGTCATGCATTGACTTGTTTTCTTTTAGTTTCCAGGTTTATTGAAAAATTTCATGGCCTTCTGATTCTGGATACTTCGTATTTGACTTGTTTTTCTTCCAGAAGATTTCAGGGTGTTCTCTTTATCCTTAGTATTCTGAAATTGCCTTGGAGTGGGTTTTTTTTCTTTTTCTTTTTTTCATTTGCACAGGAAATGCTTTCAGTTTGGAAATTTATGTTATTCACTTATAATAAATCTTTTGTTTTTACTTCTTTGATAGTTTTCCTGCTCTCTTTTCTCTGTTCTCTCTTTCTGGAACTTCTATTAATTAAACATTGGATCTTCTGGATTAATCCTCTAA